ATTTTCAACATTTACATTTACATTATACAAAACAAAATGGGACAGAAAATTCAAAATTCATTCTGTTGTGGTACTGGTTAATAGTGCTATTTGCTATGAAAGACTTTTTTTAATGATTCAGTTCAGTTGCAGTTTTCTTCACATATAATACAAATTTAAAAAAGCATTTATGGTTTTTGAAAATGTATGATATTTCTCTATTGTTAAAAGGGCATTAGATTTGGTGAAGGGCACATTATAACTTGTTTGGGACTCAAAACTCAAAGTTTAGTACTTGGGACTTGACTTGGGTCTTGTCAATCTTGTCCAGACTTGCTTGTCTTGACTTGATTCCAGAATTGAGTGAAAAGACTTAAGACTTACTTGTGACCTGCAAGACAATGACTTGGTCACACCTCTGGCTCATTGACTATGCTTATTTAGAATCATTACCATGATCTCTATGAAATGTGCAAATAAATAATAATAAATGTATTTACAATTGCAAAAACATCCAATGAAGCTTCAGAGTCTTGCAGAACAAAACAGTTTAAACAGTCCAGAGACATCAAATCTGACTTGCAAAGTTCAATCTTTCACTGTATTTTTGAGAATGTGACCCAAAACCTGTTAAGACACATTCAACCGGAAACGTTTACACAGATTAATCATCATAAATGCAATAAATAGTGATGTCATACCTCATAAACAGAAAATATTGCCTCAACAGGCTCACAAACAGACATGAAAAAAAACATGTCCTCATACCTTAACAACAAAACAGGTAGTTTGTTGATGCCTTCCAAAATGACCCATGATTATTCATATGCACACTTTCTGATCTATAACCTCAAAGGTTAAGGTTTACAGGGCAACCGAAACTACTTGGTTAGGATCAGGTGCATAACCTATAACCACTTTCCTATGGTCTTGCCCAGTCTCATAGAAACACATGAAATGGACAGGAACTCTTAACAAAACATTGTGTGGTGGTGGGCACAAAATGTGTTAAAATTAAATGCTGGCAACAAGACAAAAATGCCAATGCTAAGTCCATAAGGAGCTTTTGTTATGGTGGAAACACAAATTCAGTATAAAGAGCGAGAAATCCACATATGGCAGGTAGGAGAGGTGGTGGATAGTTTAAACAAACATGGACTTTCAAACAGGAGGTCGCTGTTTGTGTCCCATTTGAAATCTAATATCAGTGCAGCCAATGTCATCAAATTTAGGGTGTGATGTTGGGTGGCCAAATTTCAATATCAGGATGGCCAATGTCAATTTGATATAGAATACTGACAGCAAAAGAGGCTGATATTTTGTTGGTTTTCAGTTGTGTTGTTCAGCAACCAAAATCCTGCCTCTTCCAAATGTCTCATGCCAACGTCATTTTGACATAGAATAACAACATATAGTCATAATTTAGTCATAAGGTATGGAGAGAAACTCCAAAGTGTCATAATGTTAAAATCCAAACAGCGTGAAAGTCTTACATCATTATACATTTAAAATACTGTCAACCCAGTTTTTATTCCAAACATGACTTAAGCCCGGTAAATACACCGCAAGAACAGAGAAATTTGGTCTTTTTCTCGAGGTGGCAAGAACAAGAGCAAAGTTCTTTCTGGCCAGGACACTGCATACTTCAAGAGAAACTCAAGTACAGAACTCCTGGGAAGTTCTCATTAGGGCTGCAACGATTAGTCGATTAATCGATGACTGACTGACTATTAAAACAATCGATGACAATTTTAGTAGTTAACTATCAGTTTGAGTCATTTTTCATAGAAAAGTACTATAAAAGTACCCCAAAATACTCTTATTGCAGCTTGTCACGTTCAAATATTGGCAGCTTTACACACTCTCCTAACCCTTTGGCGTGAGTACGAAACAAGACATTAGAAGACATAATTTTGGGGTTTGGGAGAGACAGACCGACATTTTTCAACGTTTTAACACATTTTTCGATAAAATGATTAGTCGACTAATCAAAGAAATAATCGACTAGTCGATAATAATAATAACAATAATAATAATAATAATAATGATAATCGAATAATCATTAGTTGCAGCCCTAGTCCTCATAGGCCCCTCCCACTGCCACATACACACATGCGCTTTTCCCCATTAACCACGCCCACTTCGAATTTCTGACCAATCACACAATAGTTCTTGGACACCACACAAGAAAAAAGTTCTGCTCAGATGATGTGTCGAGAACAAGCTGCAAGAAGTCCCAAACCAGGGCTGCAGCCCTGCGAGAAAGAACAAATTTCTCTGTTCTTGCGGAGTATCTAACGTCTGACTGTTGTAACAGCCCAGTGTCTTTTTGATGTCATATTAACATTCTGTGTCAGGCAGGTACGGGTTTAAAGTATTTTCCGTAGGTACCTTAGGTAACTACACAAAGTAAGAAACTCACACACATGACCTGAACCCAACCAAACTGTGAGCGTTTATCACAGACTTTGCATTGGCATCGTTTTCATGTTGCCAGCATGGAATTTTAACACATGTTGCTCTCACCACCCAAAAATGCATTTTTAAGATTTTCTGTCGATTTCGCTTATTTCTACGAGACTGTTTTGCCTGTACACACTTAACTTTAAAACTGGAAAACTTTGAGGCAAAATCAATAAATTTCAATGGAATTGCTGCAAACAGTGGATCTGGTCCCAGTGTATCTGAGCAAAATCATTTGTAATAGATTCATACAAATTAAATTTGGTGAACTTCCGCTTGCACATTTGCACAACTAACTGATAGCAAACCCTCTTGACAGTCAGAACTGAGAAGCCACCTTCAAACAAACGGCTTTTCAAGAGGCACTGTTTGCAGATGGATCACCTGACAGCAGTCACTGGTACAAAAATGTCTCGAGTAAATTATACAGGCTGTCTTAAGGGAATTTCTTTAAATTTGGCACAAATGTCTACTTGGACTCAACTATGAACAGATTAGATTTCAGTGGTCAAAGGTCAAGGTCACTGTGACCTAATTCGTCTCATTCTTGTGAATGTGATATCTCAAGAAGGCCTCAAGGGAACTTCTTCAAATTTGGCCTAAATGCACACTTGGACTCACAACAATAAACTGATTAGATTTTGGTCGTCAAAGGTCACTATGACCTTGCGTCCATCTCATTCTTGTGAACACAATATCTCATTCCCTGATTAGAATTTGGTGGTCAAAGGTCAAGATTAGTGTGACCTCACAAAACATGTTTTTGGTCATAATGCATTCATACACAAATTGCAACAAAATTTCACATAAATGTCTACGAAAAAATGAAATGAAGACATTTTATATTAAAAAGGTGAAAGGTCAGCTTCATTGTGACATCATATTGTTCTGCAAAAACACTTTTCTGGCCATTATTTAACATCATATCTCAGGAAGAGAAAGGCAGACATTAATTGGTGACACTTTTCTTGGGTGTCCACCTTGAAAATGTGATGACTGAATAAATCTTCTGTGCCAGGTTGAAGACGTGTGAAGCATCAACATTTTAGAATATGTAGCCTCTTTGCAGCAACATCCATATTTAAAGCATTGTCAACTGTCATGGCCACATACAGTGGCAAAAGTTTGGGCACCTCTGGTCAAAATTTCCTTTACTGTGAATAGTTAAGTAAGTAGAAGATCAACTGATCCCCAGAAGGCATGAAGTTCAAGATGAAACATACTTTTCAACATTTTAAGCAAGATTAGTGTTTTATTTTTGTTTCGTACAATTTTAGAGTGGAAAAAAAAGGAACCGAGCCCTTGCAAAAGTTTGGGCACCCCAAGATATTTGAGCTCTCAGACAACTTTTACCAGGGTCTCAGACCTTAATTAGCTTATTCGGGGTATTGCTTGTTTACGGTCATCATTAGAAAAGGCAAGGTGATGCAAATTTCAAAGCTTTATAAATACTCTACCTTCTGAAACGTTGTCTCAACAATCAGCAGTCATGGGCTCCTCTAAACAGCTGCCTAGCACTCTGAAAACAAAAATAACTGACGTCCACAAAACAGGAGAAGACTATAAGAAGATAGCAAAGTGTTTTCAGGTAGCTGTTTCCTCAGTTCATAATGTAATTAAGAAATGGCAGTTAACAGGAACTGTGGAGGTCAAGTTGAGGTCTGGAAGACCAAGAAAACTTTCAGAGAGAGCTGCTTGAAAGGCAAGTCAAAAACCTGTTTGACTGCAAAAGACCTGCAGGAGCATTCAGCAGACTGAAGCGGTGGTGCACTGTTGTACTGTTCAGCAACACCTATACAAATATGACCTTCATGAAAGAGTCATCAGCAGAAAACCTTTCCTGCATCCTCACCACAAAATTCTGTGTCTGAAGTTTTAAAAGGAACATCTAAACAAGCTTTTCAAACTTGAAGTTAAAATAGAACTTTTGGATGCAATGACCGAAGGTATGTTTGGAGAAATGAGGGTGCAGAATTTCATGAAAAGTTCACCTGTCCTACTGTTGAAGACAGGGGTGGATCATGCTTTGGGCTTGTGTTGCTTTGGGCAGTGGCACGGGGAACATTTCACAGGTAGAAGGAAGAATGGATTCAGTTAAATTCCAGCAATATGAGGAAAAGATGACTTCTACAACAGGATAATGATGCTAAAAACACCTTGAAATCCACAATGTACTACCTCAAGACGCACAGCCTGAAGGTTTTGCCATGGCCCTCACAGTCCCCCGACCGAAACATCATTAAAAATTTGTGGATAGACCTCAAAAGACCAGTGCATGCAAGACGGCTAAAGAAGCTCACAGTACTGGAAGCCTTTTGCAGAAAGAATGGGTGAAAATTCCCCCAAACAAGAACTGAAAGACTCTTAGTTGGTTACAAAAAGTGTATGGAAGCTGTGATACTTGCCAAGGGGGGAGCTACTAAGTACTGACTGTGCAGGGTGCCCAAACTTTTGCTTCAGGCCCTTCTCCTTTTTTGTTATTTTGAAACTGTAAAAGATAAGAAATTAAAAAGTAATATTGCTTAAACTACTGAAGAAATGTTTCATCTTTAACCTTTTGCCTTTTGGAAATCAGGCAATTTTTTTATTTGCTCAGCTATTCACAGTAAATGACATTTTGACCAGGGTTGCCACAACTTTTGCATGTTAATGTATGTGCCTGGACAGACATGGATGTAAACTGGAACTGCAACTTGGCTGGTTTGCAGAGGCATACTACCAAAAGTCATTCTAGTTTTGCCAAGATATGTGGATGAGTTCACTGTGCCACTTCCTGGTTGACCAGGCCGTCAGTTCTGAAGAAGGGCAGCCCATAGTCATTATTCACATGACAGCAAGAGGGTGCTTATTAGGAACTGACATTTTAAGCATTTACACAAATGGCAGATTGTGTCATTTTCTTGAGAGTACAGTCTGAAAATGACAAGTACAGTACAAATATATATGTTTTAAGCATGGACGGTTTCGGATTTAGGAAATGGGAGATCCTTCATCAGTTGTCCACATCCACATGCTGCATTTACATATGATATAGCTGACATGAATACCTTTGTAACACAAGCACAAAACTGTCATGGTTTTCTACAGAAATGTTTTGCATTCCTTTCATGTTTAATCACAAGGGATTCCAGAGGTCCTTCAGGTGGTCCCTTGGATCTTGAGAGGACTTAATGGTGTCCTCTGAAATCAGGATGGAATTTCATTTTCCTATCTACTGTAAAACAGCTGATTGCACTGAGTTTTCACTGTCTTCAGACATTGTATAAACAGTTCTGTAATGTAACAGTGGTATAAGAACAACTTAAATAATCCTTTTGATTCTTGGAACAAAATCTGATCAAGTGGTGGTTGAATCAAACATTTTTCAAAGTATTATCCAAAGAGACATAAATACTATCAGCCATTTCCAAAAATGTCACAGACTGGTAATAGAATTCTCTAGAACCACAGCAACACATACAGGTAAGATGAAAACAATCATTAGATGTTAAGCATTCTTCAGAATGTCACAGGCTAGTGTCAGCTGTCTTCATCTTCGGAGCACTGACAGAGTTGGCTAGTGTTGCAGTGTCAGGCTGGGCATCCCTGCAGAAGAACACAGCAGGGTTTTTACAAGCCCACATCGCCACCTCTCCTCCCCCTCCTCCTTTTCCGGGACTTGAACTTGACAGTCGGCTGTTATTATTCACCCCTACGCGACTCACGTAGCGGTCCCTTATCCTTTCGGCTTGGTTGAGCCGAATCTCACGGTTCTGGGTTTGGCTGGAGAGGTACGCGGCAATATTTCTGGTCCGATAGCCCTCCTCTCTGCTCCGCCCAAGTAACATGGATATATTGGGATTTCTCAGGGCATAGATCAGAGGGTTGATGGCTCCATTTGCCCAGGCTAGCCAGATAGCCACTGTGTCCATTGCAGGGTTGAAGGTGTAGTCCCCCAAAGCTGTAACCAACCCCATTAAACAATATGGCCCCCAACAAAAAATGATGAAAACAATCATAATCAGAACTGTAGTGGCTGTTCGCATTTCACTGTAAAATCGCAGTAAGTATGCGTACGTTGTCACCGGCCTGACTCGGATTTCAGAGAGACGAACTGTCTTACAGATGTTATAATGACAAAAACACATGAGGGAGAAGGGCAGTAAATAGCACACAACGATAAGGCAGATGCTATAAGCAGTCCCCATGCGTGAGGTCCCGGAATGGAACACATACATGCAGTGGTAGAAACCCTGTTTATGGATTTCTGTAGGTGTTCGAACTAACAGGTACCAAGGCAGAGAGAAAATGACTGCAGTCAACCACACGGCTATCAACAGCTGAGTCGCCTTCTGGCGTCCTATTTTAGCCTGTGGCTGTCTGACTATGGCGTAGTACCTGTCAAAGGAGATCAAGGTCATAGTCAGGGTGGAGATGATCCCAAAGCAGGTGTTGAAAAAGCCATTGGCTACACAGAAATGATCCCCAAACATCCAGATACCGTCCTTACTGAAGAGCATGACGAAAGAGAACGGCAGGCATAGAACAGCCGTGAGGAAGTCAGACAACGACAGCGACATGATGAAAGCATTGGTCACCGTTCGAAGCTGTCTGTGTTTTATGATGACGATGACAACTGCCGAGTTACCAAGGCTGGAGAGGAGGAAGATGGAAAGGAGTACCAGGGCCTGAGTTGCCACCGTAATGCCCTGCAGGACAGAATTACTCTCAGTGGCGCTCAGCACCGATGGGGTTGAAGCCTGATGGATCTGACTGAGCTCGCTCCCTCTTTGGTCTCTGAACGTCGATAGGTTTCCTGTGTTTCCCACTGTGGCCTCTGTGGTGGCGGTCACTAGACTGGTCACTATGGAAACAACCCTGCAGGACCAAAAAAATGAAAAAAAAAAAATAAAAACAAAGTAAAAAGTGACAGAAAATCATTGTACAATCAGCAGAATCCAGTTACATTATGTTCTAACAGCTACCAACAGCATTTTGTGCATGTCCCAAAAAAGAGAAACACCCCCCCCCCCCTTTTTTTTTTTTAATTTTTATGAGGGCTGCGAATTTTTGATATTAGTGTATTACAATGCCTGAATTTTGGTACCTATACCAAAGCAATACTGTTTTATGGCATACCAAAAACTTTCTAGTAAAGGCATACTTGTAAAGGGATACTTTGCTGATTTTAACCGGGTCTGTGTTACCGTGGTGTGGGGAGTGTGTGTAGATGAATGGTCTTACTGGCTCCCTTTGGCTGGCAGTGCTAGGATGGCCCACATGTTCCGTGGGCATAAATACATGGATTTCACTAAATACACATTTTTTGCTCACAACACGGGCAGGGGGCTCCAGGAGCTGGTGGCATGGGGGCACCTTAACTCTGCTAATCTGCACACACTCCCCACACCACAGTGACACAGAAAAGGTTGAAAATTGGCATCACTTTAACAAAAGACGCCAGAGTTCTAAAATTGTGAATGTTGACTAAAGTAAAGTACAGTAACTTAGCTAAATAGAGAGTAACACTGGCAAAATTATTATTTAAATCAAAAATCATCTGTTCAAAGAACAAGAAAATAAGATTATGAATCTGGCGAGACATTTGAAGCAAGCTTTTAAAGCCCAGTTCAGACCAAAGATTCATGACGAGGTGAATTGAAACATGCAATTACTTGCAATGCGCCGCTCTGCAACGTTCTAAAAACCTGCCGGTTCACACCAATGCAACGAGATGAGACGGTGTATCATCTCTATGCAACAACTCTCCAATTTCTGATTTCTATCTTTAAAAGCTTATTTTGTGCCTGATATAATTAGTAGCTTCTTAAAATATAAATGAGGATAGTACTACAGTTGCCTTTGTAGTAGTGACAAAAGAGTGAAAAACAAACAAAACGAGCATCAGATGGATTGTATTCATAATAAATAGGGATGCACCGAATATTCGGTAACCGAATATATTCGGACGAATATTGCAAAAAAATTACACACATTCGGTATTCGGTGGAATAAGTGAAAAGCAAGGCCGAATAATAGCGGCGTGTTTTGATAATGCAATCAAACAGCGTGCGGTGACGGACGGAGTAAAATGTCGGCAGTGTGGCGATATTTTACTCCGTCCGTCACCGCACTCGCATTTGCGACTGAAAATAGTTTTGTGCGGGCAAAATAAATCATTCAGCACGCTGTGCAAGTACAGATTTCAACAAGCAGCAGCAATACGGCAGCCATAGTGCTCCGCGGCGCAAGATAAGGCTTACAGGCGACAGAGAAGTCCGGCTCCTATAACGTCCTCTTCTTGGCGTCATGACTGCCCAAAAGTACCGGGACAGCCGAGCCGTGGCAGCACACAGGTATGTGACGTGTCAGAGGAGAAACGAGCCGTTCACATTACTCTTTGTGGCAGGTAACGGTCCACAAACCTCACCGCACTTTAGGGACTGTTCTTTACTTATGAAGAGACTGTTCTTTACTTATGAAGAGACTGTTCTTTACTTATGAAGAGACTGTTCTTTACTTATGAAGGGACTGTTCTTTACTTATGAAGAGACTGTTCTTTACTTGTCAGGGGAGGAGGGTGGCTGGTTGATTTTTATTTTATTAATTTATTTTATTTTGATCCACCCTATGTTAATCACTTATTGATGCTGTTTTTGAAGTATGAGTAAGTCAATAAGTAATTTATTCCATTGAAATATCATTGATGTATTATAGAAAAGTGATTTATCTTTTTATAAATGACAAAAGGCACATCTGCCTCATTTTTGCTGTGGTATCCTGATACTACTCAGAACCCAATTTTGGTACTGTGACAACACTAATCTGGAGGGGGTTCATCTGCAAAAACTAATGAAAAACTAAACAACGGTATTCGGTACTCGGTATTCGGCCAAGTGTTTAATTTTATTCAGCTTCGGCCACAAATTTTCATTTCGGTGCAACCCTAATAATAAATACGCCACGATGATATAAATAATCAGCTCCAATTAATTAGTGGGGACGCAAGGACGGAAACAGAGGGCTCGGCAGTGACAGTGCACCTGCCGCAGTGAGCGAACACGCAGCCTACGGTCATTTTGAATTGACCAGGAACAGGAGATGTGCTTTATATTCTAAAACCAGCAGTGATTCGATCTGCTGAGTTGCAGGTGACACGATCAGCCAGGCTGAGTCGAGTGCAGATCGGCCAGTTCACACAGCTTTTCTCTGCAACATTCTAAAACGGTTTCGTCACGTCAAGAATCTCTGGTCTGAACTGGTCTTAATATTTAACAATTCCTCAACACTCCACACCTTGATACCACAAAAGGATACCTTGTCCTATTTTTCATAGACAATGATACAGCCCTATTTCAAGCTATCAACCAGGGGAGGCAGTAGAGCACTGTTGTTTAGTTACTTTGCTAAGGTTTAAGTCAAAATTTCACCAATCGGTAGCACGTGATTTTAATCGCTTCCTTATTGTTCCTGTTCAAGGGACTATGATAGCCATAGATCTAAACAAAATGTTACATAAAGAAAAGAGGTCCAAACACGTATACTGAAGACCAGTTAGTGAAGGTACATCTTGGTGTCCAGTCTGAAATAAAATATGCAGAAAAATAAAAATTGTGGCTGGGAAAGGCTTGGTTCCTTCAAAATAAAATACTGGAAATGGAGGTTATTATGTCATCCCATATTGAGAATAAAAAAACTCATAATCACTGTTACAGTGAATTGTGCAATGACTTTGGTATCACTTCAGATTTTCACACGCACCTTATGTCACATGATCGATTCAGTGGCCACATGTTCTCTGCCACAGATTATAGATATTTATTGTTTCAAGCCCTGAGGGAGCTGTTTTCAGGAATTTGTAACCACGCCACTGATGCTGTAGGGCTGATAACTGATTTTTTCAAAGGCCATTAGTCTACTCTGCATTTGAGATTTGAAATCAGTTCTCCTCACTAACTGTGTCTCTAATGAACTTAGCTAGTTTCTCTCCTTTGGCAGTTTGTGCTGGCTATAGGTCATTCTAACCTCAGTGTTCTGTGTACTTTTCGTTAAGGTTTTCAATGATGTATCTTCAAACTGCAATCAGGACAAAGTGCAGGACACTTGATTATGTATTACACAAATACTTTTCATGCATATTTATGAATGTAATGTCCTGGGCACCAAAAAGGCACTGATTAGGCAGACTGTGCAGGAAGGAGAGATGTTAAAGTGGACAGACAGAGTGAATTACCTTGGCACTACAGGTGAGGTGGTTCCCAGCTGGTTGGTGAAGCTTGGACCTGAGGTGTCAGCTGTGTAGTTGCCACCACTGCTGCCCCGCAGGGCTGTGCTAACAGGCGAATCCATCGAAGGAGCACGAAAACAGCCCAACAAAAGTCATCCCTTGTCTCATACACATCCATTCAGATTACAGTCAGTCCATGTTGGATTCATGGCTGCAAACGTAGCTGTTACTCATCATCCATCTGTGGTTTTCTATTGTCATTATGTATAGATTCATCAACAGAAGAAAGCAAAAGACAAGGGGAGGTCAAACGTGTTCAAAGGCTGGTCTGAAATAACTTTTCTGTAAGATATTAATGACAGTTAAACAAAATTGGATTAAGATAAACAAAATTATATATATACACACACACATATACACACACACACACACACACACACACACACATATATCACTTATTTTGTTGCAATTCTATGTTCTTAAATCAATAATGAAATATTTGTTTTTAGTAATTTGTCATATTGTCAGGAATAGAATTATCGCAAAAAATACCCTAAAATATCGTGACATTATTTTAGGGCCATATCACCCACCCCCCTCCCCTGATAAGTAAAGAACAGTCCCTTAGGTTTAGCCTGATGTTACCACAACAAAGGCCCCCAAAGCCTCACTTGTTCTCGCAGGAGCAATGCAATAACTTACCGGAAGTCATTTGTTTACATTCCATAAAATCTGGCCAGAGTCGTAGGATGGGAACATTTTCTTGAGGCATGTTACATTTGCTTAAAATGCCCGTTATTCCTCTGTGAAACGTAGTTTGTGTATTCCCTCTGTGTCTCGTGTTACCTCAGTCACAGTGTGTCCACAGTGTGTCCACACTTAGCTCCACACAAACAAGCCATGACTGTCATTTTGGTCCAAACGCTTGTTTTCCTCATGTTTCAGCGGGTTCAATAGCAGAAGCCTTGTTTCCTCTGGAGGTTTCTGAGAGCACACAGCACACTGAACCACGGTATATTCACAACTCCATGTCGCTGGTGTCAGCACTGTAGGCCCACATATCAGAGTTTGGCCTCTGAAATCCTTGGTAAGGAGAGGAGAAGTAAGTCAGTCCGTTTCTTTCTCCTCAGCTGCTTCAGCGCCGCTGGAGGAGAAAGAAAACACCGCCAGAGAGACAGCAGCTCCCACCCTGTTGATTTCTCTGAAGAAAAATAACAAAAGACGCTCACTCGCTTTTACCTCGATTTATCTCCACTAACACCAGCTCTGAAACCAGACGAGCCCAGCTTCACAAATCCCAGGTGTGACTGCGAACTGACACGAGCTCATCCACTCACATCTCTCTCTGTCTTGCTCAGTGTCTCTCTACCTGCTTTTGGTCTCTTCATCTCGCTCCTTGTCTGAAACCACGCCTCCTTTATGGACGTGCTCACAGCTTCATGTGACGTTTAATGCAGTTGCCATGGTAACTGCTGATAGATTTTTGCATCTTTGTCCCTGTAAAACGACATTATATGGTGTTTGCAAAACATACCGTTGAAAATTGATATATGAACCCACAACACACTGGATCTGCAACCATCTGAGCAGTCTGATGATTCTTAGAGTCTCATCAAGTCTCATCATAGCTGCTTTGTCCTGACCATCAGGCCCCACTGGTCTACAGCTGCACAGAGCTGCTCTGATTATGGTGAGATTATAATGTGCAGCAAAAAAGGATACAAAGCTGGTCAGCAACAGTTATTGTCGAGCAGCATAAACTGCTCATTCTGAATTCATCCACTGTGTGTCATCACAACCCAGTCGTCAGATTAAATGTTGGCATTGTACATTTCTAAAAGCCACAGGTACTTTACAATTGTGCATTATCATGTTGCAGATATGTTAAAACTTAACATTTCAACAACGCTGTGGTGAACATGCCATTAAACCACGTTAAACCGTATTCTTATTTTCTCTAGCTCACAAATGTCATCTGAAAGAAAAAGTCAACAAAAGGAGAGTCTGGAGCACAGTTTCACAGTTAATGTTTTGGACATGCTGTTACGTCGCACCCTTAGGCGGCCCTATGGGGCTAACAACACTCCAACACTGACCCATAATAATCACATGAACACCTTTAAAACACATCATTAGAATTAAAACAGGCAAACAAGACAAAAAAATCCCTCAATGAGAGGCAGCAGGACCAGCAGTCCCCACCCCAGAGCCTCTCTCCTCTGCTGCTGGCACAGGAGCTCTTAAGCACCTCCTCCATGCCAGGTGTGCTGCACCTCGTTAGGTAATGCAGCACACCTGAGCAGATCTACAAGGGAGGGAAAAGGGGACAGCAGCACAGAGCACATACACAGCTGTAACACATGCTAAGAGTTTTTTTTTCAATCACCTGTGTGGATTAATTGTGCTTAATTAACACCATTATGTCTGATTTGAACATTTACAGCTCAGACCCTTTTTACACTACGCATTAAAATGCTTCTCATGTTCAACCAGCTGGCACCAGATGTCAATATGACATCAGAAAGAGGTTGGACGCTTACGTGAGACATACGGAAAATTTGGTTGGAATGAAAATGGGGCTGACAATGTTTTAAATGTCTAATGATGTTTTTGAGACATTGGGTTTTGTTCTCCATACCATACGACTAAATGTATTTATTCTACGTCAAGATGAGCACAAATTTCTTGTGTTTATTTGAACTACCAAATATCAATGTCTAATGACATTGGTGGCCAGCTGGGCAGATTGTGTCTAGATATGACCTGATTACATTTACACCTTGTATTAATATGTCTCCAGTGTTCACATTGAGATCCGACTAACATCCAATTGAAAGCCAATGGCTCTTTCCAGCTCAGATAACTGAACAGATGTAGCCATTTGTGTAGCTATTGCTTCACAAATGGTTCGGTTGGGTATGAATTGCAAGAATTGGGTATGAATTGGTGCCTGAGGAACCACCTTCAGATCAACGCAGGGAAAACCAAAGAGCTGATGGTGGACTTCCGCAGGCGCAGACTCCTCCCCCCAACACCGGTGAACATCCAGGGAAAGGACATTGAGATGGTGACATCTTATAAGTACCTGGGTGTTCATCTTAACAATAAACTGGACTGTACTAATCACATAACAGCACTGTACAGGAAAGGCCAAAGCAGACTCTACCTGCTGAGGCGGCTCAGGTCTTTTGGAGTGCAGGGGGCGCTCCTGAAGACCTTCTTTGACACTGTGGTGGCATCAGCCATCTTTTACGGAGTGGTCTGCTGGGGCAGCAGCGTCTCGGCTGCAGCCAAGCTGTCATCCCTGAGGACTAATGACTCCCATCCTCTGCAGGAGGAGATAAAAGCTCTGGAGAGCTCCTTCAGTGATAGACTGATTCACCCAAAGCGTGTGAAGGAACGCTATCGCAGGTCCTTCCTGTCTGCTGCTGTCAGGCTACATAACAGCACTGCTCACAGTAAACTGCACCATGGACACTTTATAGACACTATGGACACTTTATGGACACCACAGCAGTCTGCTGTTTTTGCACATACAATCACTTGCACCTTATCCACTGGTCATTTTCATTCACTGCTGCTCATTATTATCCACTTCCTATTATTTTTATTATTATTATTATTATTATTATTATTGTTATTGTTATTTATCGCTGTCTCTTGTATTTTTTGTACTTAAGTTTTTTAAGTTTAAATTTGAAATCTTTAATCTGACTTTCTCCTTGACTGCTGTAACACTGGAATTTCTCAATTATGGGATCAATAAAGGTGTATCTTAGCTTATCTTATCTTATCTTCTCTTGTATACTTAAGTCGAACAAAATTGAAAGCAGATACTTGGTCTCCGCTTGAATCCATCCACAAAAATATCCATAAGCTTTCTTGCTAGTAGCTTATCTTGCTAATTGGCCTACGGCTGCTACCTTGCTTGTTTGGAATAGCTGCTTGCATTTCCACCCACACAGTTGCTGTATGTGGATTGTATTTACACTTGTGTTCACAATGCGTCCCTGACAACCTCCAGAGGTGGTCTGGCCAATTGGATCACAATCCGTCCTCAGTACATTTTGGGTGCATTTACACCTGTGCTTTCCTGTAGTCAAGCACTATCCCATTGCAATACAGTAGCAGTACGCTCATACATCACCCATTTTCACTGAGATTGTTTCACTCTTTTAAAACAGAAAGGCTTTTTACAACTAGACTTGCCAGTAAGTACACTGACATGTCATCTCTACTAACAGATTCTACATATGAAGGCTATGCAGAATCTGCAGATGACAGGACAAGGTTTTGGTATTAGAAGTGTTCTGGGTTTTGTGCGTGGTCTGTCTGTGCGAGTAGTATTAACCAGTCACAATTGAATGACAGTTCTCCACGCACTGTTATTGGTGTTGTATATTATATTAATAAAGTTGTTAAAATTTGTTTTTAGCATATGAGTCAGCATTAAAATCAGTGCTGTCTGAGTTGGACAAAGTTCAAGACAAAGTATTTAGAGAATGTGTAGGGGCTGCGCGGATATCGCAAGTAATACAGGTGGAAATGGGGGAGATGCTGTTGTTCTATTTTTGTGTGTATTTCAGATCATCCATAATAATCTGGGTGAAGATAGAAAAGTGCACTCTCTTCAAAAGTTCTGGTTTCTGACATTTAACTAACATAAGCACAACATAATAAAGTTGATGGTAGGGCAGAAACTAGGCATTACAGATGGGGGACACAGTTTGTGACGGACTGAAAACGCAGTCTGACATAATATGAATCCCCCCATAACGTTTGCTGTGGAAAAGAAAAAACTTTTCTATCTTCACCTAGATTATTATGGATGATCTGAAGTACACACAAAATAAAACACTTGATGATAGTGCATGATTTGTACAGTGATTTTACACTGCAAATAATAGTTGATAACACAACTATTCAAAACGATAAACAATCCTCGTTTTGATTTTTCATTTCATTACGTGAAATCGGAGCATAGTAACATAGGAACAGATGCATTTGTGTTTCCGTGGCCAGGGATACAAATCCTATCAAGGGTAACTACCTGCTGCCTTCTCACTCAGCACTGGACCAACTCCTAAAACTGCTGTTCACATCAGCCTCTTTGACCAATTTACACAGAGAAATAGGAAAAAATGGCAAAGTTATTCTTTAACTGAAATGTGATCTAAGCAGTGGCGTAATGTAGTTCCCACATGCCCCAGTGCACACTATTGTGACAGGCCCAGGTGCACACGAGTTACTGGTTATAAGGTGCTTACACCACTGCCAACTGTTTATAAAATGCCAAATGAATCTTATTTAGGGAGCTTTGCTACTTTTTCCTGCTGTTCATTTCTCTCTTGTCCTTTCTTACTGCTGCTTTTCTGTTTAAAAGGCATGACTGCTTGCTGGGCTTGCAGATGTGCTCAGCTTGTAAGTCTCGACACATTTTGTGCCTAAATGGATCGTATCGTCTTTTCACATGGTTAAAAAGAGACTTGACATTAGACAACATTTACATACATGTTATCAACAATCATCAGTGCATACCTGGATATGACAAAAATATCAAAGAAACAAAGAGAAGAAACAAAGAAAGTTCATTTAATGTAAGAGTTTTGTATGTAGTTTACTAAGAGCTTTGGTTAAGGTAGAATAAGCACATGGTTTTGTTGTAGATTTGCTACTGACTAATTTAACCAAGAAAAGAAAGAAAACAAAACAAAACAAAAGAAAAAATGGCATAAGAGATGGATTTGCATTTTAGCATTAAAGCAAATGGCACCATTTTTAGTTTAATGTGAGTTCTTCTTTGTAGTTCTGAGGTGGCAATCTGAATCAGTCTGAATTAACCAATTAATCTCCCTAAACCACCTGGCATGCTTGTTTGAATTGTGCAATTTGTTCAGTAAAGTTTGTTTAAAAAATGTCTTCCTGTTTGTGCTTCCTCATAGTATGAAATGGAGTTCTGCCCGACACTATTGTGGCCTACAACCCCTGTGTGGATGTTAGAGGGACTGACGGTGGATTTAGAGCTGCTTCAGGTTAAAGCAAGAAATAAAAATGTAGATTGTGTACATGAATTTTATAGATATACAGAAAGTAGTTATATGGGTTATGTGCATGTATTTACAGATGGTTCAAAAAATCCATCAACAGGCAGCACTGGGGCTGCTGTTGCAGTTCCTAGTAGAAGAGTGGAAATGGGTAAAAGAATGTCAAATGATTTAAGTGTGTATACAGTTGAACTGTTTGCTATTGTGATGGCGCTAGAGTGGATAGAGCAAGCCAGACCAAACCATGTGCTTATATGTAGTGACTCAGCATCTGCTTTGTGGAGTTTAAAGCGAGGTACTTCCACAAATCGACAAAATATATTGTATGAAA